ATACACATCAATAAGACAGCAGATTCTTTTAAGTCATTAAGTGTGTTATCATGTAATATTAATTACCTTTACTATGGTCTTACTCAGACTCCTCATAATATGGTGTGGTGGTGTGAGAAACCTGGCTCTGTCCATGGGCAGATTCGACAGATCTGACTCAGTTTGAATACAGGGTGCAAGTACAGGCCCAGTATGAAGTGTGTATCTATAATCTGAAGAGATATTTACTTCTAGAAAGCTCGCCACAAAGGGGTCGATTGGGGTAGTGAGGGGAGGCAGCTCATAGCATCCCATGAAACTATCTACTAAGTCATGGTGGGCAAGTGGTTTACAATCTGTGCCAAAGGAAAAAAATATCCTCATTAAAGAAATTATCCATCTTTAGTTGTTGGTAGGCTAGGAGCTACACAGCAAAATTTACACAATTATGAATAGCACCTTAAAGCCATTCAGCAGCCCTTATTAAGTGCTTACTATGTGCAAAGTTCAGTCCTAAGTATTACGGAAAATAGAGAATTATGGCACTGTTACTGACCTTTATCAAACTAAAAATCTGGCAGGAACTATGTATGAGTTATTAAAGGATATAAAACATAAATATATAATAAATGAAATATAACAGGATATGATAAGAGAGGTACAAACTAATATGCAAGGATGAAGAAAAGAAACATTTCTGAAGTGATAAGAGAGACAGAATCAAAGAAAGTTTCATGGAACAGGTGTCACCTGAGCTGCATTCTGAAGGATGGCTAGCAGTAACAGGAATGAAGAATGGGAGAAGAAAGAATTTTTTCATAAGCAAAGGCAAAAACAAAAACAAAACCATCAGATTGTACAAATAACAGCAAAGTAGTCTAATTCGGTTTAAGTACACCACATGTAATAAACAGCTATAACAAAGTCTAAAGAAGTACCAGGTGTGGAAAACCTTGAGTCTGAACTTGAATCAGAAGGATTAGTTTACATGATCAGATTTACAAGAAAGATTAATCTACTAGTAAAGAACGAATTGCAGAAGGCAAAGACTGTAGGCAGTAAGGCCAATTAGGAAGCTGTTACATTATTCAGAGTGAGGGTCTGTATGTACTAGCATGGTGGCAATAAGAAATGAAGAAATTGGTGGCATTCTAGAAGGGGCTAAACAGGTAATCTAATCCAACTCTCCATTCCGTGGGGAAAAAAAATCCCTTTCATAGTTACTATGTTGCCATACAAACTGTATTTCAAAATTCCCATGAGTAATCACACAAACTCATGGTATAGAACATTATGGTCTGTTTGTTTGTTTTTTGTTGTTCGATAGTTCTAATTAAGTTCTTTTTTTTATAATGAATTAAAACCTGCTTCCCTGTAATGTGACTCTGCTAAATCTATTTTTGCCTTTTGGATCTACACAGAATGATTGTCTCTTCAACTTTTCAGATAATTCAACAGAGAAGCCAGCTATTAAGCTTGTCACCTCCTCCAAATCTTCTCTTTTTCAAATCAAATATTCCCAGTGTCTCCAATTATTCAAATTCGGCAACTGAACCCAAACATTTTTAGCAATAACTTATTACATGCAAAGAAAAATACTCAAAACCATTCCTCATGACAGATGAGTCCCCTCACTAGACAAGTGATTATGCTCTAGGTATGATCCAACTTATCAATGTCCCTCAAAATGTAAATCCAGGAACTAAACATAATATTCCAGAAGTGGTCTTTGTAGAGAATATAATGGGACACTTTCCTCCTTATGGATTAATAATGGCTAAAGTTGTATTAGGTTATTTTAGAAGTCAAGTGATTCTGCTGATTTATATTGAGGTTATATAGTCAATAAAAACACCCAAAATATTTTTCACATGAACTGCTGTTAACTTACATTTCCCCAAATCTCTACTTGGGTTAAAAAACAAACAAACAAAACAAAACAAAAAAACAACTGCATAAGTATAGTACTTTGCATTCCTATTTAATGTCATCTTACTAGAGTTAGCCCCATTGCTTCAACCTTCAATCTTTTGAGTTCTTCTAAATTTGCATGCTAATGTCTTAAAGTAAGAATTATTGACATACCATATGTTTTTAAAGAAAACTAGTGGTTTAATCCTAAATACAACATGTTCACTTAATTGGGTAACCTCAGGAAGGTCACCCTAACCACTCTGGTCTTCATTTACCTCCTCTGTAAAATAGTTATCTTACTTGCCTAAAGGAACTGGATCAGACTCTATGCACTCTTTTTTTTTTCTTTTTTTGGTGAGGCAATTGGGGTTAAGTGACTTGCCCAGGGTCACACAGCTAGTAAGTGTCAAGTGTCTGAGGTCAAATTTGAACTCAGGCCCTCCTGACTCCAACGCTGGAGCTATATCCACTGCACCACCTAGCTGCCCCAAGAGTCTATGCACTCTTGGGATTTCTTTCAACTCAGATATATGATCCTAATGTTTACTGACAGAGGGAACTTTAGGAAGATTGAGAATTGTTTTATTTTTCTCCTTGTGAGATTTATGGTCTTCTAAAAAGGTGAATTAAGTAGGGTAAATATAATATGATAAAAGGAAAAAATGTTAATCTATTCTTTCCTTAAAACAAAAAGAATCCCTCTATTTTGGGAGAGATATATTGAGAAATGTAGCAAAAGCCGAAAGATATGAATAAAAATATATTTAGAAAAAAAAAACAAAAGGGATCTCCAAAAGTTCTTTTAGGATTATGTTTTATATATTGATCAAGAGTTAGCCTAGTTCTTTTGGGAAAAAAAAATGTATATTAGGAAAAAATATTCTTAAAAAAACTTAATAATAACACTGAATACTTTCCTCAAAGAGAATACTTTTGACTTTAAAAACAGAGAGATACAAATTTAATATATTGTAAAAATGATTACTCCAATATAGGGTGATATATGAAATTGAAAATGATCTTAGTATTTCTTTTGAATAAATTTTATTACATTAATTAAATAAAATTAATCTGGGGGCCTGAAAAATGGGTTGATCTTACATGATACAAGAATAATTATAGATTACAAGGCACTCTATATTTATAAAGTATTTGTACATGCAAATGTACATTTGTATACATTGTATATTATATCATGTAAATCTCACAAGACCTACTTGGTAGACAAGGAAAGTATTATCTTCATTTTATAGATGAGGAAACTGCTTAAAGTTCTAGCTCTATTCTAATGCTGCTTCTATTACACTATGCTGCTTTTCAAATATGCTATCAATGCTTGCTAAATATCAATATTTAAAAGAAAACCCTATAGTAATTAGAATTTAAAATTCTGTGTAAAAATTAATAAAGAACATTTAACATTAACTAAAGAGAAAAAAAAAAGACAGTAAATGATAAATCCACTACAGAAGAGTAAACTCCCAGAGGCAAGAGCAGAGTATAAGTCAATTTGGTTTCTTCCAAATGCTCACTCTCCTAGGTCCCTTTCATCATTGAAATTCTATGACCATATTAATGTAGAATGACCAATTAAAAAAAATAAAAAGTTGGCTCAACAAAAAGTAAACCTGTTACATGTATTTTCTTTACTAAGATTCCAAACTAAAACTACAGAAAGAAAACTGTATAACAATAGAGCGCTATAAAATATACCCTTTAAAGAAGCAGAATTTTGAAAAGGATTTGCTAGAATTAAAAGACACTGATGTCTTCCCGTCTTGACTAAAGCGAGGTGAGTTTTCACTTTTAATGGGAGTGAGGAAATGTCACCGTTTTTCCATTTTAAATAGCTGAATCATTCAAAAGCAGTCGAATTCAGGAAGCAGCAAACATTGCTACTCTTCTAGCTCTTATGAAGTGTGCCAAATTAAATTTCACACCAGAAGCTACTGAGAATGTATTAAGAGACAAAATGAATTTCTGATACTGGCTTTAAAGATTTACTATTACTAAAGAAATGAGCTACTTTTGGCTGCAGAACAGATCTTTGACGAAAAAAATGAACCTATTTAAGCAATTTATTCATTCATCAAAACTGAGTGCCTTCGAATGGCTCTGTGTTTATGCAGTAAACTGTAGCAAACAGGCACTAGGCAAATACCTAAAATCCAGGAGGAAATCTTACAGGGCCCAACGTCTGCTGGCAGAAACAGAAAAACGCAAAAGGAGAATTCATCCATTCCTCCTGCATAAATCTCTAGTGATAATATGGCCACAAGCCAGAGCCAAAGGATTAACAATAGCTAAATCTCCGCATCACACTCATTCTGGATTACATTCTTTAAAACTCCTACCATTCTCCTCAGACACTGGAAGACAAGGTAACTCGTTTTTAATCTGGGTTCCCAAATGGCTATTTAAAGACTTCTTTACTTCAAAACAAAAGTCAAAATAATCCTCAAATTAACATCCACCTGGGATCTTCCAAACAACCAAGAAATAAACTCAGGCATAGGTGTTCAGCAGTTAGCATATGGCAGGTGGGGAAATGACAATCTGTTGCTTGTCTGTACGCGTCTGTGTGTTTGGGGGGCGGGGGGCGTGAGTCCTTCTGCAGGTGGCTAGGTCCCCGTAACCCCGCTCCCTAAATAGTAAATGCTAGATGAGCGGTAGGCTGGGCAGATGGACGGATGGATGGATGGGAGGGTGGATGGCTGGCTTAGTAAATGGAAAGACGGATGAGGGGGTGGACGAGTCATTTGTCCTTATCCACCCTACAGAGGTGACAGTTACCTGGAGGCCCAGGGATTCCTCTCGAGGAATCTGCGAGCCTCCTGCGGGGCCTGCAACTTCCTCCCTGAGGGAGGTCGAGGAGCTGTGGGAGGCAGGAAGCCTCCCTATCCCCACCGACCAGCCTCCAGCTCAGTCCCGTGGGGAGGTGGAGGCTGGGGTGCGTGTTATCCCTCCTGCCCCACAATGCGGGCGCCAGGCCCACTCCGAGGCCCCGGGACATGAGGGAGAAAGGGGGCGGACTGCGGCGGAGCCCCCGGAGGAGCGCGGTGGGGGGCGGGGGGAGAAGGGAGCTACCCCGCAGGGCTGGCGCTCACCCAAACAACCCTCTCAAGAACGAGTGGGAGGACTTCACGCGCTTCTCGGCCTCCGCCATCAGCTGGACTGCCTCCCGTTCCTTTCCCGCGTTGTCCATGCCTGTCGCCTTCACACTCTTCGGATTCCGGGTGGAGAATAACGGAGTAACGGCGGGGGAGCACGACGACTCAGCCTAACGGCACCCTGAGCTGCTAGCCGGTGAACGCGCCTCTAGAGTTTCCCCACAGCGGAGGGGCGGGGGCAGTGAAGGGGACGAAGCTCAGGCCTGAATCGCAAAGCATTTCGGGATTTGTAGTCCATCCTCCCCGCTTCGATCTCGGAGTCAGGAGAGGTGGAAACTACATTTCCCAGAAGAGAGCTGGACCGGTGCAGTGTGCGGACTCGCTCCCTTCCGCCCCCTGGTGGGTTAAACCTGTAAGCGAGAGATGCTGCATTTGGCGGGGTGTGACCCAACGTAAGAGGGATTGGTTGGGAGGATGTGAGTTAAGGAGTCGCCAGAGGGTGGGAAGGATAAGGGCCACATTTTGATTAGCGATTTAGTCCCTTCACCAAACCTTTATTAAGGGCCCACTTTGATATAGAGCCCTGTACTAAGGCACCAGACAAAATAACAAATTTAAATAAGGTAGTTCCCCTCACGAAGCTTGAAGTCTCACGGGGCGGGGGAAACAAGACAAATACGCAGATAATAGGACACCAATGATACCTCCCTGGGTTCACAAACACCAGGCTTTATTTTCTCTTCAGAGTCCCTAGAATATGTTCCTAAGGCTTCCACGAAATCGCGGGATTCTGTTAGTAATCGTCATTGACAGGTCGTTAATCACAGGTTGGGGTGGGGATGGCTGCAAGGTGCAAAAGAGAAAATCCTGCAGTCAGGAGACGCGAGGTGTCAAATCCCCGGTGTGACACTACCTTTGTGACCCTATGCAGCTCCGCGTTGACAGCACTGAGACTGAAGAGCAACTTCACTCACCTGCGTGATCTCAGTCTCTCTAGGACTCAGTTTCCTCATCTATAAAAACGAGACTGTTGAAGTGAATCACCCTTAAAGTCTTTCCTAGCTCTAGATTTATGACGTGGTTTCCATATCTGCAAAATAGAGGCTCCTGATTCTATACAGACTTTCTTTGCCACAGAAGTCTTTTCATATTGGAAGTTCACCCCCATACCTCCTGAACCCCTGCTTTTCAATTCCGTTTTATGTGTCTTCCCCCAATTAATATGTATGCTCCTGGAGGGCAGGAACTCTCTCTCTCTGTCTCTCTCTTTGTCTCTCTCTGTCTCTCTCTCTCTGTCTCTCTTTGTGTCTCTCTGTCTCCCTCTGTCTCTCTGTCTCTGTCTCTGTCTCTCTCTCTCTCTGTCTCTCTCTCTTTCTCTCTCTCTGCCTATTTATATTGCCAGCATTTAACACAGTGCCTGGCATATAATAAGAACCTAATAAATGCTTGTTTCCTTGATTTGACTTGATACTGAACTCACAGGGTCCTTGTGAGGAAATCACTTTATAAATCTTAATGCACTGTATAAACGTGACTATACAAGATGTCCCACAAGTCTTAGTGCAGTTTGATGCTATTAAGACTTAAAACTGCACTACACACACTACCTGATTCAACATCACACACACACACATACATATGTTGTGTGTATATATTATCATTTCATCAGGGCATTTCTCCATTTGGCAATGCCTAGGCCCCCGACTGGAAATCTCTCTGTTCACTCCCCAACCCCATAACCAGTTATTTAAATGGTGATTAGAAAAATAATATTCATATGTCTGCCCCTGGGTTTTCCCCTCAGAGTAATGCCACAGATTTTTCTGTTATGTTGGATCAGGCAGAAGAAGAAGACCAGCTCAGGGTCATCTAGCATTCCTACTACTATGTCTCTGGCTAACAGCTGCTTATCAGCATTAGTGCAGTCATCGCTGTACATGTTAAAAAATTACAACCACTCTTGGCTGCTGATTGATGCTAAATGAATATATCTCTTATGGTGCTTCAGCTTTGAGCTTTCTGCCAGGGGAAATCCCATTTATCTGAGTGAGATATCCAAAAGTCTATTGTTCCTCATTTCAGGGCATTTCTAGGCCTATTTTACAGGGAGTCATTTTTGAATGCTGCTTAAGGATTACTTCCACTTGGCAATGCTAAAGTCCATTTGGTGAAGCAAATATGTAAATTAATGTCAAAAGAGAATTTGCAACAACTATTAATATTCCTGAGATGCTGGCACACATACTCAGCTCCACAGATTATGAAAATAAGACCTTTCAATTAGATATGAGAGTGGCCAAACTCCTTGGAATAAATTGATCAGCAAGGTAACCAGTAAAGCTTAGCTGAATTGTTGTTGATATACTGAACTTTCAGTTCACTAAATACATTAATATATATTGTTTCACACGATCTGCACAATAGCACAGTGAGGTATGTTATATGTACATATCTCCATTTTGCAAGTGGAAAACCTAAGACTCAGGAAAGTGAAGTGATTTGTGAGAGGACTGATTTACAGCAGGATGGGTGGCAAGAGTCCCAAGATACCCAAGGTGTAATTTAAAAAATGCAAATTGTAAAATTTCTGAGGCTATACTATCCTTTCTTTCTTACCTTTGCAGTCATCTTACCTATCCTCCTCCCTGCCTCCTCCCCAGTATTCTTTGTTCCAGTGACCCTGGCCCCCTGGCTTTCTGGCTGTTCCACAAACAAGACACTCCATCCCTCTGCTCTGGGCATTTCCTCTGGCTGTCCACAAAATTTGGAATGTTCTTCCTCCTCATTTCTGCCTCCTGGCTTCTCTGGATTCCTTTAAGTTCCAATTAAAATTTTATCTTCTACAGCATACCTACACAACTTGGCAGTATGTAGGGGCCTAAATTAAAATAGACTAAACTTCTTTAGGCCACAGATAGGTTTTTAGTGGCTCACTTTCCAAGTAAAGGTATAATTGATGATTAAACTATTTTGCAAATAAATCATATTAAAAAGGAAAATTTCAATTAATATCAATTAATTATACTTATTCCTTAAGATTTTTATTTATCATGAAATGACATTTATGTTAAAAAATTACTTCGCTAAACAGTACAAGTTTTAATACATTTTGGGGGTTTTCTTGCTGTTTACATTTAGTCACAACTGAAAACACAGCAAAAAGATATGACTCTTGCTCCTCTCAGACTAGAGACAGACTGACAATGGTCGGTTGCCATGGGTCACATGACAAACAGGAGAATGTGCACAGTGGCAACCCACGCAACAAGTTACATGATGGGCACAGTAATGACTAGTGGAAGGCAGGTTAAGTGGGGCACAGACAAAGCACTCATTACATCTTTACTTTCTTTTACATCCTCTACATTTTTTGCAGGCCTCCCAAAATCCTTTGTCAGGCTGCAAGAGGCCTGCAGGACATATATTGTGCAGGTCTCTTCTATAGGAAGCCTTTCCTAATCTCTCTTAATTTTTGTGCCTTCCCTCTTTTCGTTATTTCCTATTTAACATATATAGCTATAGATATCTATACATCTCTATCTTGTTCATAGATATTTATTTGCTTGTTGTCTCTTCTATAAGATTGTGAATTCCTTGAGGGCAAGAACTGTCTTTTGCCCCTTTTTGTATCCCCAGAGCCTAGCACAATGCCTGGCACATAGGAGGCACTTAATAAATGCTTATTGACTGACTTAATATTAAGCTTAGCACAGTCTCTGGCACAGAGAAGGCACTTAAATGTTATTGACGGAATATTATCACACCCTGTAAGTTGGCAAAAAAAATTTTTTTTAAATAGAAATAGTCAATGTTGGAGGAGTCATGGAAAGAGAACTAATGTATCATAGGCCGAGCTAGAAATTGGTCCCTCCATTCTGGGTAACAATTTATAATTAAGGAAGAAAAGTGACTAAACCATCCAAATCCTTTGACCCAGTGATCCTGTTACTGGCCATATACCTTCCAAGGAAATCAAAATGCTAAAACAAAGGTCTAATATATACCAAATTATTAATAGCATTTTTTCTTGCAAAGAATTAAAAATAAAGTTGGCATCCATCAACTGGGGAATGGCTAAATAAACTGTGGTTCATGAATGTAATTGAATATTATTATTGTTCAGGAAAAAGTGGCAAATATGAGGAACTTAGAGAATCATGGGAAGGCATATGGACTGTTGTAGAGTGAAATAAGTTGAATCATGAAAACAATATACACAATGACTACAACAATGTAAATGATAAAAACAATAAAAATTAATTTGACCCCTGAGTAATTAAAAGATGATAATTATTCTGGGGAACAGATAATAGAATATATTTTCCTCTTTTCAGAGGAGAGACAGGGAACCATTTCAGCACAATATCGTGTGCTTTATCATACACGATTATTGTAGAGGGTCTTTTTGCTTGGTGTGGAGGGAGATTTCCAGATATCACTGTAATATAAAAATAAAAAGCATCAATAAAACTTATTTTTTAAAAAGGTTATGGCAAAATCAGAATGGCACTTTGCCAGATCAGTCTAGAACTTTTAGGAACAGAGAGAGAGCCCCATACTCAGGCAATAAATAAAACTATATATATATATATACTTTCCTGATAATGTACAAACTGATTTGTGGGATAAAGAACCTATCAAGAAGCTCTTGATACCCTCTTTCCTCTGCCACATCACATGGCTAGTACCATCATGCCAGTGTCTACAGTCCCAAAGAGGGATATTTTGTGGGGTATCTCCCTATACCAACCTTTCTTCAGGTCTTCAGTGAACCAGTGATGCCATCCACTGTGAGTATTTCCTATATCTATGCCAGTCACAACCCATCCATGCCTTCTCATCCTTCCCAGTTCTTGATTGTGCACTCCTATAAGACCTATGTGTAGTATCTACTCAGTCTACTAGAAGTCTTCCTCCATCTCTTAGTATTTTTTAAGTATGAATATAACACCAGGTCTATTTTTTCCCTTATTTATATTATGTGACCAGCCACTGCATCTTTCATTCATTTATTGGAGAATATACTTTTTAAAAAGACAATAGCATTTCATTTAGTAAGAAGAGTTTCATACTTGTCAGCACTATAACCTGAGAATTTATGTTGACCAGGGAAGAAAGATATCTCCCCTCCTAAGATTTAAAGATCAAAATACATCTCTTGTGCTCACTCTCTTTTCTCTCTTTAAAATTAAATT